TATATATTTTCCATATATATATTAATTAATATTAATTAAATTAGATTATATAGATTAATATATATATTTTTAATTAATGTTTTTATATTAAATTATTTAATATAAATTTAAGTTTTTATAGCTCTATGTATTCTAATATCATCTATACACAATGTGTTTCATTATAATTAGAATTCTCAACATTGTCATTTGAGTTGAACATTTTCTTTAGTAGAATTACTAATTAACATATATTTGGATATATTTAATTTTTTTCCGATAATTTTATTCAAAAATCATAAAAAAGTATATTATAATTCTTTCAAATATAACTCGAGTTATGTTTTCACACACATTTTTATATTAGATTAAATTTAATATTATCTATATATATATATATTTTTTTAAATAAAATTATCGGAAAAAAATTAAATATATCCAAATATATGTTAATCTTGTTAATTAGTAATTCTACTAAAGAAAATGTTCAACTCAAATGACAATGTTGAGAATTCTAATTATAATGAAACACATTGTGTATAGATGATATTAGAATACATAGAGCTATAAAAACTTAATTTTATATTAAAATAATTTAATATAAAAAACATTAATTAAAAAATATTTTTAACGTGACAAACAAAAATAAATATTCAATAAAAATAAATGTTTGAATAAAATATCTAACATAAAGCAATATAAGGAGAAGATTACATAATAAAAATACTTAATCATAAACTCTTCTCAAATATTTAAACGGTTTGTGGATTTATTTCTTCGTCTTTTTGTTGTCTGCTAAGCCTCTGGCCACCTTGGCGAAACCATTCTTTTGTAATATCCTCAAATTCTTTGTTTGTGAATTGATGTTGTCCTGAAATTGTTGCTAAAAAATTATTACAGCTATTTTTTTAATATAAATTAAATTTTATATAAATTAAATTTCATAAATTTAAAATTTTATTTTACCTTGTATTCCCATTAATATAATGTTTAAGGTACTGATTTTAAAATGATTTCGTAATCCTTTCCAAGATGATTGTTTGGCAACTTCATTGGAAAATAAAGTTCGGTATATACGAATTAAATTTTCCTTAGCGGACCTTCCGCCTATGCGAGATATATACAGTATCTTTAAAAATAAAATCATAATATAATTACTATCGTTCTATTTAGATAAAACTTTTATTTAAATAACTAGTTCCCCAATTATACTCACAAATTTGTTGTACTCATCTGGATTTTGTGATAAACTGTTTTCAAAAGCTACAACTTCATCAATACTTTTAAACGGGAAATATCGTTGAATATTTGATACCTATATCTAAAGTAGGTGCTTCAGGCTGATGTTGATTATTTCGTTTTTCTATTTATATTAAACGAGCATTCAGATCTTGTATTCCTAATGAAACAGTAGTTATAGCTGTATATATTTTTTGAAAATTATCTGAAAAAAGTAATAATATGGAGTAAATAAACAGAGAAACTAAAAACAGATTTTATAAAATTATAAGACAAAAAATAAATACCATACCTTCCATTTTATTTAACATTTCTGTTATTAATGTATGTAAGTCTTGTATACCTATAAAACATATTTAAAAAGTTTTAGAATTGTTACGAACAGTAATAACAATTATAATTTTGGATAGAAAACGCTTTATATATATATGTATATATATATATGATAGAAATAATACAAATACATGAAAAAAATTAAAGTTAAAACTGAAATAAAAAGAACTAATAATGAGCCATTACTTTTGTGCGATACTATTGCTCCTTCAAGGATGTTCAAGTCAACATGTTCTGTTGAATTCAAAATATTTGAGATATCGTTGATTGGGACATTTTTATTTGATGAGTTTGATATAATAGTATCAAAATCTGGTGAGTTTGGTATACCACTACTAAAATCAGATTCAGATTTAGATTCAGAATCAATATTTGACAACTGTTTTTTATTGCATAATGTACGTGACTTCTTCTTTTCTTTTTTACTTATATTGCTATCATCACTTGAAAAATAATTCGTTGCTTTCTGCCTAGCCTGATCTAATGAATCTTGATTGGGATAAAATCATTATTTATAAATTACAATCATTTAAAAAAATATATAAAAAACAATTACATAAATTTTAAAATAAAATTTAAATTACCATAATATCCATGAAATTTAATGGGATGAAGTGACCACTTAGGATCATTAAAAAGAGGTGGAGTCTATTTTGTAATGAAAGTATTTATATTTTTGACTGATGGCCACCAGCATTCTGTTAAATTGGAGGAAAGCCATAAAGAGGGTACTTCTGATACTATCTCTTCATCGTTATTTCCATCGCTTGAAAAAATGACTACAGCGAAATTTTTCGTCATGATTAATAATCTGTAAAAAAATAAAGTTTATTATAAATAAATTATAATAAACTTTATAAATATATTATAAATTACTTTATAAATATATTATAAATAAATAATCTAACATTGTTTTAATTTTATATTCTATCAATATTAGTACTCGCCATAAAATTTCTTGTTGGTGCAGTAAAGGCAATATCACAGCTTCTTCGTTACATAAAGGCAATTTTACACATTTTGATTTAATATCGGACAATGGAACAGTAATTAAGTTATATTGTAACTCGTTAATTTGTTTAATTCCTATATTTAAGGAGTCGCATGGAATGTGAAAATATGATTTAACAGTCAAATATTTTTTACCAGTAACATAAATTTGTTCATTTTGTAAATAAATTTTCGTAAGCAAAATTGTTGTACCATTTAACAAAGAACAACAATTATCAGCAGATTTTGTACTAAGATAAAAATCTTTGCATTGAACAGATTTTATTTTCTTTTTACCATTTATAATACGAAATTTTAGTATTGGATAAATCTTTTCTACATTTATTATATTCAAATTATCTTCTTCTATACAACGGTTGACTAATTGTTCTAATGGCCGACTTGAAGATTTCATCTTTGATTTAATTTTTTGCATGTAATTTTCGAATTTAAACGCGCTAAATTTATCTAACACTCCTCCTAATTTTACATAGTAGCACAGATGGACTAAATTATGCACGTTACATGATATATGTTGACGACCATATAATGTACCACAATTTTCAACAAAATACAATAATAAACTGTGTGCATAATCAAGCAGTTGTACACGATACTCTTTGCTACATAAAATTCTAATTGCTACACTCAGGCTCAAAAAATGAATGTATTTATCGTGTGATAATTTTTTAAAAAAGATTACTGGCCCAGTATATAATAATAATTGTCTTAATTCAGTGGCTTTAAACCGATCGACTTCATCTAATTTCCTTGGCTTTCTAGCAAATTCCTTGGGTAGGAATGATGACATAGATAATAAAGAAGAAATAAGAGTAATCTGCGTTGCATTCATACGAACATTATGTTTACCTTTAATCCAAAACTGTAACAATTTTTTCATTATTCCTAATAGTACGAGATGCATGTAGTCTAAAGGAAATTGAGTAACCATTCCAATGTTTAAATCTTCAAGATTTGAAGTCATTTTATGGTGTTCTTCTTGTTGTTTTAATTTAAATGATTCATCTGATCTTAATATTGCATTAATTTCTGAATAAGTTACTCAATTTTTTATATAATCTCCCTCTTGAATACAATTATCGCATCCAAAATATGCATTATGTCCTTTAATTCCCTTGATAAATGATTTTGCAGGAGCATCGCAGATAAAAAAATTCAATTTTACAGTTATTTTTTTGTCATATTCAACAATACCAGTTCGGAAAACTTCAAGACAATCATCCTTGAAATATTTAAGAAAAGTATTGCAACATTTTGGCTTTTGAAAACCATGGTAGACGCCGATTATAAACGGTTCAGTATAAAAATCTGCAACTATACTAGCTAAAATGGGCCAAAACTGACTGTTAGAAGATTTTGTTAAAGGAAGACCACCTATATTTACATTAATATTTATTTGTGATGGACAAGTACTTCGGGAATAATGCTTATGAATAGAGTTTTTTAAACTATTACCTAAACCTATATGATAATACTTTCCTGGTATCATTTCAATAATGTCTACTTGTTTAGGAGTTTGAAATAAAGTTCGAGCATCAGTAGGAAGATCATGACCATATTTTATTAGAATTTTCAATAAACTACTTACAGCAGAATGAGTTACATGATTTTCAATGATCCATAATCGGATGTCATTAATGATTTCTGTTTTATCTGAAAATTTACCACTTGAACTACTTGACTGAAGACTATTGTTATCAATACTAATTTCCGAATGTACAGAAATTAAATCATCATTATTTTCAGTAAACTCGTGAGTGTTTATTATATTGGAATGATTGAAATCAATTTCCCTTAGTACATTTTGCTGCTGAGATAATTGTCCGATGTTATCTGGCTTATTTGATTCTATTGCGACATTTTGAACTTCCAAATCATTTGATTTACGGGTTATTTGACAAATATTATGGAATTTTTAAAAATAAATACGTCGCCGCTGCCTTGGCGTTAAACAAGTAATGTCTAGTCTCAATTCTGATTTTGACTTTAACTTTGATTTTGACATAATATAATTTTATATAATATAAAGCAAGAAAAAAATAGTTTGCGATTATGTACGAAGATTTGGATTTGCTTCATGTGGTAGACTATACATATATATTATGGTAATATTCTCCTCTTTTATTGAAGATGTAGGAAAAGTTTATTATCTGGAAAATAAAATATATTTTAACAAATAAAAAGTTTCAAGGGAGAGCTTTGCAGTTTTTTAAAAATACAAACTAATTTAATAATTAAAATATAATTTAAGCAAAATATATAAAAAAAACACTAATAGAAAAATACATAATTATTATAAATATATTATACATAATAATTTTTCAAAACTATGCTTTTATGATGTAAAATAAATTACAATGGTTAATATGCTAATATATATATATGTTTAAACATCTTTGGATTTTTGAATAAAAGTTAGTAAACACTTAACTATTTTGTTTGAATAAAACACAATCGTTATATAAAAATCTTGACACTACGATACACTTGACCTGATCTTTTTACGTAAAGAATTACACGTGAGTGATCGCCGTTCTTCTAGATTCTGCCATATTGAAATGTGAATACTTAGAGCGGAATGTGCGAGATATCTTTGGCCGCGTTCAGCAGAACGACAAAATCATGTTAATGTTACGTGTTTAATATAACGTTACAATTATGTCATTAGAGTTATGTAGCACTTATGAAGTTTTTACAAAACGCACATTGACGTCAACAAAATCATGTTAATGTTACGTGTTTAACTTAACGTTACAATTATGTCACTAGAATTATGTAGTATTTATGAAGTTTTTAGAATATACACATTTACATTCGCCAAATTACATAAATGTTACATAATAAGTTGACATCAAAATTACATAACATTTTTATGTAACACTTATGAATTAATTGCATTATTGACATAACTAAAACGTCATAGCTTCATTTTACTGATATGTAACATATACATACAGTATTTTATATAAATGTTACGTAAATGATCCTTGCATGTTTACTGGGATTCTTCTCCTCAACTTTTATTCTCTCAACTTCACTTTTATTTTATTATTTAAATTCGCGGGACTCGAATTTGACTATTAAGTCTTACCGCGTATGTGTCGTCGTCTTTTTATGACTTTGTTTCGTGTTCTCGCGTATTAAGGGGGGAGCCTCGTGTAACCAGTTAAAAAAATTGAAAAATTTTGTTTTGCTTTAATCAATAGTAATCCATGTAGAAAATATATTCCCAAAGTTACAGAACAAAATTTGAAGTTTTAAGGAGTCCACAGCCCATTTCTTGCGCGCAGATATACAAGCGCGCGGCGAGGCGCTTGGTCAACGGTAAATAAGATAAAGGGAACGGCCCGATACCCGAACAATACCCAGTACCCGAACAAATTTGCATATATTCCTTATTTTTTTCTAGAAATAAATATCAAAATAACTAAGAATTTTTTTTATAATTTCCTTAAACATTTGTTATTTATATTTTTATTAAAAAATTGTTAATAATACAATATTATCAGCAAAAAAAATTTTTTTTTAAACATGAAATTATGGATTTGCGATTTTTAGCACAATCTTACGAATTTTGTTTTTCCGTCTGAAAGACCGACTTTATAATAAGAGTTTTCTTTAAATGTAATATACTTAATTGTATTACTAAAATAAGTTAAAAGTTATAGTAAGTTTTAGAATAAGTTTCAAATATTAAAAATAAAAAATATATTCGAATTTATAAGAAATTATCGCGTTCGGATTGTGGGTCACGCAATAAGTCATGCCGTCCAGTTACTCGAACAAGAAATGAGCAGATTATTTATTCATGTGCTGTCTTCAATTATTGACGTAAGTTTTTCAATATCTTGATTATTTATGCATACTTTTTATGTAATAAGTATTTATCAGATCCATGAATAAAAAGTATATATATTATTTCCTACAAAAAGTACCTACATTAAAAGTAAGAACGAAAAATGTGTGACCTAACCTCAATTTCATATATGGTACATATATTGTACAATTGTTTTATTTTTTTTAGTTTATCATTATGTCAGGAGGAAAAATAAAAAAGAAAAATATAAAACGAAATGAATTTATGTATAAGAAGGAAGACATACCAATTGCGGTCGAAGAAGTGAAGCTTGGAAAACCATTGAGACAAATTGCTGCTAAATATAAAATTCCTCCAACAACTTTACATAATAAAATAAATAATGTTTTTTCAATAAATGCGAAAAAAGGTCCACAAACAATTTTAACAGCAGAAGAAGAACAACAACTTGTAGATTGGATCTTGTATAGCGAAGAGCGAGGATTTCCAGTTACGCAGGAACAACTTTTGAATAGTGTGAGGTGGCTTGTCTTAGATTTAAAAAAAGAAACTTCTTTTACTAAAGATAAACCTGGAAGACATTGGTACGAGGCATTTTATCGTCGTCATCCTGAGCTGAGTAAAAGAAAGCCACAAAATCTTAGTTATAGCAGAGCATCTGTGACCGAAGAAGGACTGAGAAGTTGGTTCGCTGAAGTAAAGAAATATCTGGAAGACAATAACTTGTTAAATATAGATGAAAATAGAATATTTAATGGCGATGAGTCAGGTTTTAAATTATTTCCTGATACAGACAAAGTGATAGTTCGTAAGGGACGAAAAACTGTACATAAAGTTGTAGGAAGTAACGATAAGGAGCAAATCACATCTTTGTTTTTGTATAATGCAGCTGGTGATCAGGCACCGCCTTTAGTGCTTTTTAGTTATCAGAGAATGCCTGCAAATAAACTTTCCAAAACTTTGCTGCTTCAAACTTTCCAAAAGGATGGAGCATAGGCAAAACTGAAAATGGTTGGATGACTAGTGAAAGTTTTTTTGAATACAAAGTAAATGTATTCTATCCGTGGTTAATACAACAAAATATAGAGTTTCCAGTGATACTGTACATGGATGGACACTCATTGCATTTTACTCTTCCACTTAGTACATTTTGCAGAGTAAAAAGCATTATTCTGATAGCCTTGTTTCCTAACTCGACTCAAGTTATACAACCTCTGGATAGAACATTTTTTAGAACACTGAAGAAAGCATGGGGACAAGCTGTTGAAGATTTTAAGCGTGAAAAATGTACTATTAATATAAAAAAAGAAGACTTTGGGAATATTTTGAAAACTGCTCTCGGTACTCTAGATTTAAAGACTATAATGAAAAATGGTTTTGAAGTGTGTGGTCTTTCTCCATTTAATGCTGATAAAGTTAATTATGCACTTTTAAAATATAGAAATGCAGAAAATATTAGCAATAAAAATGTAGAAAATTTGAATTTATCTGTCA